ACTTTTCTAGAAACTACAAAAGCAGCCTAATAGTAAAAAGCAAAAGGGTAATAGTCTTAGTCATCTAGTGCTGCTATAACAGAAATACCACAAGTGGATGGCTTTAACAAGAGAAATTTATTCTCTCACAGTCTAGGAGGCTAGAAGTCCAAATTCAGGGTACCACCTCCAGGGGAAGGCTTTCTCTGTTGGCTCTGGAAGGAGGTCCTTGTCATCAATCTTCCCCTGATCTTGAGATTTTCAGTGCAGGGACCCTGGGTCCAAAGGACACGTGCTCCTGTTCTTCTTTCTTGGTGGTATGAGGTCCCCATGTCTCTCTGTTTGCTTCTCTCTTTTATATCTCAAAAGAGATTGGCTCAAGATCCAATCCAATCTTGTAGATTGAGTCCTGCCTTGTTAACATAACTGCCACTAATCACATCTCATTAACATCACAGAGATAGGATCTACAAAACATAGGAAAATCACATCAGATGACAAAATGGTGGACAATCACACAATACTGGGAATCATGACCTAGCCAAATTGATACACATATTTTTTGCGGACACAATTCAGTCCACGACAGTAATCATTATTACAGAGTTAAAACAAAGTGTTAACTCTGCAGAACAGGAGAGCTATGTTGGCAGGAGGGACTGAGGAAAGCTTGATGGAGAATAGCATTGGGCTAGGCCTTGCAGCAAGGGTGGGATCTCCAAAATCAGAGCTTAGGAGGCAATGATGGAATAGTGGAAGGCAAGACCAAGTGCAGCAATCATTTTAAAACAGTGAGTCATGGGGTTTGACGAGAGTACAGATGTGTTGGGCATAATAGTGGGAAGTAAACCTGGAAAGGTAGGTTGGAGCCAGAATGTGGAGTGTCTTGAATGACAAAGTTGGTGATGGGTGTCACCAAAGGCTTCTGAGAAGAGAAATGAAGTGGCAGTAGGGAAGGAGGCTCTGCAGCCCTCTTTGCTGGTACTGCCCCAAATACCTTCAAGTCTGCACTTCCCAGGGACCTGGGACTTTAGGAGTAAGTCATACCTATGTCTTAGAGTTGACTGTGGAAGCAACAAATGACTAATGAAGTAAATTAACTGAAAAACTATACATTGATTAATTTAAAAATACAAAATTGATGTTATGATCTTGTGGCAGCCATGAGAAATGCTTCATAGATCTCCAACTACAGGGCCTTACCTGCTGCACTTGAGCTATCTTTCTGTCCTTCTGCTAAGGGCATGTTTCCCATGAGGTGCCCCCAGCCAGTGACTAAATATGGCAGAGAGACTGAAGCAACCCATCCATGAGGGATTTGGGACTCCTCTGATGGCCAATTTTGGCTTGAGGACTCCCTGATGACTTTGCAGCATCTTCTTTAGATAGCACAGCATTCTGGGATGTTTCTACACAGCCTTTCTTCCCTCTCGCCTTCACTCAGGGTCAGATTTTCATTGCAGTTAGATAACTCCTAGCCTTTTCCCTGCTCCCTTTCTATTTTCTCTTGCTCAGGCCATTTTCCTTAATAAAATCCTTGTGTGTTTAATCCCATTTTGGCATCTGCTTCTTCGACGACCCTGATTAATAAGAACCAGGGCTTCAAACTGGTTCAAACCCCTGCTGAGCATTTGCATTTCTAACAAGTTCCCAGGCATGCTGATTAAGGACCAATACTGAGAACCACTAGTAGAGCAGTGATTCTCAAAATTTGTCATACATAAGAATCACCTGGGGATCTTGTTAAACGGTAGATTCTTATTCAGCATATCTGAGGTGGAAATGCAAATTCTCAGCAGGGGTTCTAACCAGAATGAACCAGTTCAAAGCCCTAATAAGAACTCAGTCTCAGGACATGTTTTCTTTTTTTAGCATCACTAATCCATAGTCTTGGTCCTAATGCAGACTGGGCTATAGAACGATGACTTCTCATGGCAAATATATTTCCTGTCTTGGGAAATAGCCAAAAGCTTTGCCCTGGGGATTGTAGGTTGGTAGCAGCATCTCCAGAAGGAGCCCTGGTGGTGCAGTGGTTAAGTTCTTGGCTACTAACTGAAAGGTTGGGGATTTGAACTCACCCAGCAGCTCCAAGGGAGAGAAGACCTGGTGATCTGCTCCCATAAAGATTACAGCCTAAGTTTCTATGGGGCAGTTCTACTCTGTCATATACGATTGCTATGAGTCAAAATTGAGTTGATAGCACACAACAACAGCAGCATCTTCAAGATGAAAAACTGACTTTAAGGAAGAGTTTTCTTATGCCATTCTCATTATAATGCAGATGCTGGATTCTTCCTGGGATAAGTTTTAAAAATCTTCATTATTTGAAATTATTGTTTGCAATTTTGTTACATATCAAGGTCCTAACGTTTTACTTTAAAAACATCTTGCTTGTTTCTTCTGGTAAAGGACAAATATGATACTTTTGGTAAAGACTATCAAGGAGCTATCCTATGGAGAAGAATAGTTAGAATGAAAGGTTAGTGAAGTGTACCATCTCTGGAGGTGGAAACCAGCTAATCATCCTTTACAGGAGAAGAGCAAACATTGAAAGCTGCAGCAGGAAGCACCACAGCTGAACCTAAGGAGGAATTTGGCCCTGAGGAGTGGAAAATGTGATGGACTTATCTCTGAAAGCAGCTTTCTTGGAGCGATCCCAAACCAATGGCTCCTAAATTTAACCTGCACAAGAATTTCCTGGGGAGCTTATCAGAACTTCAGATTCCAACAAAGATTCTGATTCCATGGGTCTGGATTCTTATCGAAGTTATATTTAGGAATCTACAGTTTTACAAGCTCCCTGAATTATTCTGATGTAGCTGGCCTGTGGACCATATTTTGAAACAAACTACCTTAGGTTGTCTGAGATGGTTTCAAGTTTCAGGATGTATGGAAGTAGTAGGACAGACTGAATGAGTCTTCCTTAAGCTTTGAATTAATCTGAGAAGCAGTGTTCTCTGGAAATGAGCTATTTATATTTTCAAAAAGGTGTCAGAATAAGTGGAAAGATTTCAAGAGATCATCCTCTTTCTAAAAAGTTTGAAGGATATAAATTTAAAAATGATTTGGGCCTAATGGAGCTTTTTTCCCCATTGGATTCAGCATCTATTTCACAATCGTTCCTTCTACTGTAGAAGAGGATAACAACCATAGCTACTTCACTGGGTGGTGGTCATGATGAGATAAGACAAATTATGCAAACAATTAGGACAATACCTTGTATGCTATAAAGCAAAGGTTGGAAAACTTTTTCGGTAAAGGGCCAGACAGTAAATATTTTAGACTTTGTGGGTCATACAGTCTCTGTTGCAACTGCTCAACTCTGCCTGTTAACTTAGCTACACAACTTTGTAGCTTGAAAACAGCCACAATCAGTACATAAACAAATGGGCATGGGTGTTTTATGGATTGAACTATGTCCCCCCAAAATATGTGTTGTAAATCCTCACCCCTATGGCTGTGGTTATAATCCCATTTGGGAATGGGTTGTCTTTGTTATGTTAATGAGACAGGATTTGTGTAGGGTGTTTGAGTCAATCTCTTCTGAGATATAAAAGAGATTAAACAAGCAAGCAGAGCAGAGATGGGGAAGAGAGATGCTAAGCCATATGAAGATGGCCGAGGAGCAGAAACTCAAAGAGACAAGGACCTTCCTCCAGAGTTGACAGAGAGAGAAAGCCTCCCCCTAGAGCTGGCACCCTGAATTCAGACTTCTAGACTCCTAAACTGTGAGAAAATAAATTTCTGTTTGTTAAAGCCACCCACTTGTGGTATTTCTGTTATAGCAGCACTAGATAACTAAGACAGGTGTGTTCCAATAAAATTTCACTTACAAAAGCAGGTGGTGAGCTGGATTTGGCCTACTGACCCCTGCTATAAAAGCTTGATAAATTATTATTCTTATTATTAATACGTTGTTGTTGTGTGCCGTTGAGTCGATTCTGACTCATAGTGACCCTATATTACAGAGTAGAGCTGCTCTATAGGGTTTCCTATGCTGTAATCTTTACAGGAGCAGATTGCTAGGTCTTTTCTCCCTTGGAACTACTAGTGGGTCAAACTGCCAACGGCTTACAAATAGTCTTTAATAATTAACAAAGCAATCACTTTTTATCAAGAATTAAGTATATATACCACCTGATATTTCTTCAAAGGAATCTGTTTACAGGAGCAATGAAAAAACTTACATTCAGATGGTGTTGCCATCTCAGTGGACTCTAAATAAAAATTTCTGCTGACTAACAGATTCCACCACATTGTCGTAGGGCCTTGAGGGAGAAATTCAGGCCAAAACTAAGAATGGTGTTTACAAAGAGAAGAGATTTATCTATATCTTCAACATCTCTGACCTTTGCCCTCTTTTTGAAGATCTCGGTCAATAATGAGGTATGTTTGGGCTCCTGGCAGAGTCTATCCCCCAAAGCAAAGTTCATGGAAAGAGCAAATGATTATCTATGATTTTGTTCAATGTCCATTAATAATTGAACTTGTTGCTTTTGGACTTCAGTTCCAAGAAAATGTTTGTCTCTTCTAACGCACCGGTGTGCTACCTTTTATCAGATGACAAAGATTATGTAATTGTTTGGCTTTAGGTATCTGTAAGGTTGGAACTAAATATAAGGCTCAACCATTGTAATGCTTTTCACCTGTGTCAGAGGTATACTTTTTTTTTCTCCCTTGATTTTTATTATTTCAAAATGTCAACGATTATCTTAAATGTTAATATATAGATATCTTTTATTCGAACTGTGGTGTTGGTGAAGAATGTTAAATATACTACGGACTACCGAAAGAATGAACAAATCAGCCTGAGAAGAAATATAACCAGAATACTCCTTAGAAGTAAGATGGCGAGACTTTGACTTGCTTACTTGGGACACATCACCAGGAAAGACCAATCGCTGGAAAAGGACATCATGTTTGATAAAGAGAGGGTCACCAAAAACAAGGGAAACTCTCAATGAGATGGATTGACACAATAGGCACAACAACAGACTCAAATATCATGAAGACGGTGCAGGACCAGGCAATGTTTCGTTCTGTTATACATAAGGTTGCCCTGAACTGGAGCCACCTTGGCAGCAACTAACAACAATAATAACATCTTATTTGTAAACTCCTTCAAATGCTTTTTAGGTCTAGGTGGAACGTAAACCAAAAAATTACAAATAAAATTAACTAGATCATATTTGCAAAAGTACTGTTTTCTATGAAAGATGACTCCAAAGTAACATGTATGTGAATATAAATAAAATAGTCTATTAATAAGTACTTTATCAACAATGGAGATTTTTGTAAGTAAGTATTATGGGATGAGGTTATGATCTTCATTTCTGAAAGACCTGAGTTCCATCCCAGCTCCGTCACATGTGGTCTTGGGTATGTTACCCAGCTATTCTAAATCTCAGCTGCTTCATCTATAAAATGGGTATAATAGTTGTACCCATCTCACAGAATTGTTACGAGAATTAAATGAAATAATACATACAATATGAATATAGCAAAATGTCTGGTCCATGCTAAGTACTAAACATATATTAGCTAGCTATTCTTGTGTGTTTTTTTTTTACAGCAGTGTTTCTATCAAAATATAAGAAATGTGGCTATTTGTTCAGCTTTCAGTATGAGGCTCTAAAATTTTGTCTGAGCATTGCTGCTGTTTTCTAAGTCTATCCTCTTAATTTTTCTCCAGTATTTTTGTGTGACCCCTCCCCACCACCAAGCAAACGGATCGCGATCTAACATCTGAGATCTTTGTTACCAAATACAGTCCAGATAGAAACACTATCAAGGATTTTAAATACATACCTACGATTAAAATTATCCAATAATTTAAACCGTGGACTTGCTTTTCATTCTACATATTTCATTTTCCACATAATTCCCATATATCAGAACTGGCAGTACTATTTACCTGGGCCAGTGTTATTTTATCATCTTTTTTGGAGAGCTTGGTGAGCCTGAGGAAAAGCGGGATGGCAAAGAGATTCCATGACACAATTTACGGTTTTATATATAGAACAAATTCTGCTAATTCTCCACAGTTACCCTTCTCGCTCTGTCCCTCCTAACCCGAAATTCTGGAATGTAGCTTTAACATTTTTCTTTTAGTTTTTTTTTTTTTTTATGAAGTACTAACTGACAAATCCAAAAGTTTTATGCAGACAGACTAGAACCACTGAAGTTGAAAAAAAAAGCACACAACAACAGCAAGGAGCCCGAGAATTTTCAACAGGAAGGAAACTGGGAAATCAAAGGAAGTCTTCAGAGAACGAGTCTTTAAAGGCTTCAGTATCCTTTGTTTCTGAGTGAAGATGGCACTCCTGGCTCCTTCCCACTTCCCAGGCCCAACTAGGCGATATTGATAAGAGTTGCAGGGTCCAAAATAGAGTTTCATGGCCAGTTTAGGATCTTTTAACAAGAGAGACAGGACATCTGGCTTCGCACCAATTTCTAAGGCGAGCTCGTCCAAGTAGTCGATGTAATTGGTCTGCAAAATCTGGCTTTGGCTCTCTCCAAACCTTAATAAAGAAAATGAAAAAGGTGGATTCACAAAACATTTTGAGTTAAGTAAACATATTAGGCATTCAATAGCTGATGAAAGAATAAAGGAATGAGTGAGTGAAAAAATGAGTTTTTGAATGACTCTCCAGTGGAAAGTCAGTTTATTCCATCAGAAGGCCCATACCGTGGATGGAAAGTAGGTGGTAAAATAAATAGTTGTGAATTCATGAAGTTCTAGGAATGTGACCAAATTAATGACTATGATTATTATTAGGTATTTATTAAGCAGCTACAAGTCTCTAGGGAAGTATAAAATACTAGGATTGCAGTAAAGATTTATGAGATGATGCATGTGAAAGCCTAGCTCAGTGCCTGGCACAGAGAAGATGCTCAATATTTGCTTCTTAAACTGTAGTGTGTATGAGAATCATCTAGAAAGAACATAAATCAAAAAACCAAATCCACTGCCATCAAGACAATCCTGATTCATAGCGACCCTACAGGACAGAGTAGAACTGCCCCATAGGGTTTCCAAAGCTGTAAATCTTTCTTTTTTTAATTGTACATTAGATGAAGGTTTACAGAACAAACTAGCTTCTCACTAAACAGTTAGTACATATTTTGTTTTATGACATTGGTTAACAACCTCATGACATGTCAGTACTCTCCCTTCTCGACCTTGTGTTCCCTATTACCAGCTTTCCTGTCCCCTCCTGCCTTCTAGTATTGCCCCTGGGCTTGGGTGCCCCTTTAGTCTCGTTTTGTCCTATGGGTCTGTCTAATCTTTGGCTAAAAGGTAAGCCTCTGGAGTGACTTCATTACTGAGCTAAAACGGTGTCTGGGGGCCATACTCTTGGGGTTTCTTTAGTCCCTGCCAGGCCAGTAAATTTGGTCATTTTTGAGTTAGAATTTTGTTCTACATTTTTCTCCAGCTCTGTCTGGGACTCTCTTTTGTGATCCCTGTCAGAGCAGTCAGTGGTGGTAGCCAGGCACCGTCTAGCTGTACTGGACTCAGTCTGGTGGAGGCTGTGGTAGTTGTGGTCCATTAGTCCTTTGGACTAATCTTTCTCTTGTGTCTTTGGTTTTCTCCATTTTCTATTGCTCCTGAAGGGGTGATACCAATGGAGTATCTTAGATGGCTGTTCACAGGCTTTTAAGACCCCAGACACTACTCACTAAAGTAGAATGTAGAACATTTTTTTAATAAACTATGTTATGCCAATTGAGCTAGGTGTTCCCTGAGACCATGGTCCCCACAGCCCTTAGCCCAGTAATTTGGTCCCTAAGGGAGTTTGGATTTGTCCATGGAGCTTCCATGACCTTACCCTGAACAAGTTGTGCTGGGTTCCCCAGTATTGTGTACTGTCTTACCCTTCACAGAAGTTACCACTTATTTGTTGTCTATTTAGTGTTTTTCCACCACTACCCCTCCCATCCCTTGTAACCATCAAAGATTGTTTCTTTTTGTGTGTAAACTTTCATGAGTTTTTATAGTAGTGGTCTCATACAATATTTGTCCTTTTGTGATTGACTTATTTCACTCAGTGTAATGCCCTCCAGATTTATCCATGTTGTGAGATGCTTCACAGATTCCATCATTGTTCTTTATTGTTGCATAGTATTCCATTATGTGTATGTACCATAGTTTGTTTATCCATTCATTTGTTGATGGACATCTAGGTTGTTTCCGTCTTTTTGCTATTGTGAACAATGCTGCAATGAACATGGATGTGCTTATGTCTATTTGTGTGATAATTCTTATTTCTCCAGGATATATTCCTAGGAGTGGGATTGCTGAATCATATGCTATTTCTATTTCTAGCTTTCTAAGGAAGCGCCATACCGTTTTCCAAAATGGTTGTGCCATTTTCCATTCCCACCAACAGTGCATAAGAGTTCCAATCTCCCTGTAGCCTCTCCAACATTTGTTATTTTCTATTTTTTTGATTCGTGCCAGTAAAGCCTGGGTGAGATGGTATCTCATTGTGGTTCTGATTTGCATTTCTCTAATGGCCAGTGATCACAAGCATTTCTCATGTGTCTGTTGGCCACTTGAATGTCTTTTTTGGTGAAGAGCCTGTTCATTTCCTTTGCTCATTTTTAAAATGGATCATTTGTCTTTTTGTTGTAGAGGTATTGGATTTTCCTGTAGATTTTAGAGATTAGACCTTGGTCAGATTTGTTATAGCCAAATTTTTTTTCCCAGTCTGTAGGTACTCTTTTTACTCTTTTGGTGAAATCTTTGATGAGCATAAGAGTTTAATTTTTAGATGATCCCAGTAATCTAGCTCATCTTCTGGAGATTTTATGTTGTTAGTTACAGTTTGTATTCTGTTAATGCCGTGCATTAGGGTCTCTAGCATTGATCCTATATTTTCTTCTATGATCTTAATAGTTTTTGGTTTTATATTTAGGTCTTTGATCCATTTTGAATTAGTTTTTATGTATGGTGTGAGTATGGGTCCTTTTTCATTTTTTTTGCAGATGGACATCCAATTTTGCTAGACTGTCGTTTCTGCATCTGATGGACTTTGGGCCCTTGTTGAAGATCAGGTGGCCATAGGTGGATGGATTTACATCTGGGTTCTCAATTCTGTTCCATTGGTCAATGTATCTGTTGTTGTACCCTTACCAGGCTGTTTTGACTACCATAGCTGTATAGTAGGTTCTGAGGTCAGGTAGTGCGAATTCTCCACTCTTCTTCTTCAATAATGCTTTACTTACCCGGCACCTCTTCCCTTTCCATATAAAGTCAATGATTGTTTTTTTCCATCTCTTTAAAGAATGTTGTTGGTATTTGGATCAGGATTGCAGTGTATTTGTAGATTGCTTTGGTAGAATTGTCATTTTCACAATGTTGAGTCTACCTATCCATGAGTATGGTATGTTTTTCCATTTATGTAGTTGTCTTTGGGTTTCTTGCAGTAGTGTTTTGTAGTTTTCTTTGTATAGGTCTTTTACATCCCTAGTTAGATTTATTCCTAGTATTTTATTTTTTCAGGGGCTATTATAAATAGTATTGTTTTCCTGATTTCTTTTTTGTCGTTCTCTTTGTTGGTGTATAGCAATCCAACTGATTTTTGTATGTTTATCTTGTATCCTGCTACTCTGCTGAATCTATTAGTTCCAGTAGTTTTCTTGTGGAGTGTTTTGGGTTTTCTATATACAGTATCATATCATCTGCAAATAGAGACAGTTTTACTTCTTCATTACTGATTGGATGCCCTTTATTTCTTTTTCTTGCCTTATTTCTCTAGCTAGGACTTCCAGCACAATGTTAAATAGGAGTGGTGAAAAAGGACATCCTTGTTGTGTTCCTGTTCTCAAAGGGAATGTTTTCAGCTTCTCTTCATTAAGAATAATGTTGAATGTTGGTTTTGTATAGTTGCCCTTTATTATGTTGAGGAATTTCCCTTCTATACTTATTTTATTGAGAGTTTTTATCAGGAATGGGTGTTGGACTTTGTTGATTGCCTTTTCTGTGTCAATTGAAATGATCATGTGGTTCTTTTCTTTCCTTTTATTTATGTGGTGGATTATGTTGATTTGATTTTCTAATGTTGAACCATCCTTGCATAACTTGTACGAATCCTACTTGGTCTTGGTGTATTATTTTTTTGATATGATGCTGAATTCTATTGTCTAGAATGTGTTGACAATTTTTGCATCTATATTCATGGGAGCTATTGGTCTGTAATTTCTTTTTGCTTTTTTTTATTGTACTTTAGGTGAAGGTTTACAG